TGTGTGTGTGTGTGTGTGTGTGTGTGTGTGTGTGTGTGTGTGTGTGTTAGTGATAGCGGAAACTTTATATACTGTGTGTTTGAGAATATTGTTTTTCTTTCAACCTGCTAACATTGCATGAGAGGAGTCAGGTGCTTGAGGACTCTTTTGGCATGGAGCATTCCCTTCAGAATTCAGGCATTCCACTGACTTTTTTCCTCCTTTCAGGAGAGCACACAGCTGCTACAAATGTCGCCAGTGCAGTTTCATAGCTGCTGACACTCAGTCACTATTGGAGCACTTCAACACGGTTCACTGCCAGGAACAGGAAATCACTACCGCTAATGGCGAAGAGGAAGGCCACGCCATACCCACCATCAAAGAAGAGCCCAAAATTGACCTCAAGGTCTACAGTCTGCTAAATCCAGACTCTAAAATGGGAGAGACAGTTCCCGAGAGCATAGTCAAGAGGGAGAAACTTGACGACAAGGAAGGGCTGAAAGATAAAGTCTGGACCGAGAGTGCCACCGATGACCTTCGTGGTGTGGCTTGGAGAGGAGCTGACATCCTACGGGGCAGTCCGTCCTACACTCAAGCAAGCTTAGGGCTCTTGACACCGGTGTCCACCTCCCAAGAGCAGACGAAGACTCTGAGGGACAGCCCCAACGTTGAAGCTGCGCACCTGGCACGACCCATGTATGGCTTGGCAGTCGATACCAAGGGCTTCCTGCAAGGGGCGCCTGCTGGCGGTGAGAAGTCTGCATCCCTCACGCAGCAGTATCCTGCTTCTGGAGAAAGCAAGACCAAGGATGAATCCCAGTCGCTGTTACGGGTAGGAAGGTTTCCTTTTTAAAAATAATTTACATCTTTTGAAAGGAACATACACGTTTTATATATTTAGTTTAATGTGTTGTGTAGTGAAATCAAATGATCTGTATTGATGTAGGGATATTTTGTATGCATGGAGGCCAAAGGAGCAGAAAGTAGCTTATAGGAGCTTGTGCCTTATACACATATCCAGTCCCAGTAGGCAATTGCCTATTTGTCTTTGCTTTCAGCTCCAGTTGAATGTTGGTTAATCATTCTTGGTGATTATGCAGAACAACAAAACTGCCTTCGGAGGAGGGAGCTTTCTAATCCCATAAAGATGTTCAGCTGTATACAAATAATGATCTAACTTCAAAACTTTAAGGTTCTGTGATACAGTACTCAGGTAATAAGGGAGTTTAGGAGAGATAAAAACCACTGAGAATGTAAACTCAGTGGCAAGATGTTAATACATAAAGCAGCATTTCTTTAATTTTTATCTTAAGTTTATTTACTTTACATCCCAAGGGTGCCCCAGTTTTCTCTCCTCCTAGTCCCCCATCTCCCTCCTTTCCTCTTCTCCTCTTCCTTTATTCCCAGAAGGCAGAACGCCCCTCAACCCATATCAGCCCTCCATGTACATCAAGTCACATCAGGACTGAGCATATCCTTATCACCAAGGCCAGGCAAGGAAGTCCGAAAGCAGCATTTCTTAACACACACACACACACACACACACACACACACACACACACACACCCCAATGCCTGTAGTTCAGTTGTCAGAAAAGATGAAAAGGATGAACAAAATCTAGAAATGGATGGTGCAAATTTGGCTGAAAGAAGACTTCCTTGTGTTTCATAGCCTCAGAGCCTTTTAGGGAGGGAAACAAGTGGGAAAATGACAACTAAGGACAGACTTCATTCCTGTGTTCTTACAATGTAGATAATGCTCTCAGGAGGTATTTTAGTTTTTAAAACTTTATGAACTCCTGGCATGCTGTCTGTGTGTTTTCTTTTTTTCCCAAGGCAGTGAGTACCTTCAGCATTCATCTCAGTGCTGAGAAAGTTTAGAGATGTCTGGATGGTCTTGAAACTATGTTCTTGCACAGAAGGCAGGATCAGAAACTAGCTCACTTTACAAAAACATATGGTTAGGAGATGGAGTTCAGTCTGCTCAGGGCGTTGCCCTGCAGGTCAGAGACTACTGTGCAGGTCAGTGAAAAAGTGCTTTTCTGTGAATAGGCTTAGCTGCTGTGTTCTTGCTTCCTTCAGATTCTCTGAAGCCTCTCTTTGTGTCTCAGGTATTATTCAGTGGAGTTAAAGAGCGTTCTTCAGAGATGACACAGTTAATTATACAAGCCCCTGCTTCTCTTGCCTGAAATTAAGACCTATAGCCAAACCTTGAATATAGAAGACGGGTTGCCTTGAACCCCAAGAAGCAAAGATTTTTCCCTGTTGTCTGGCGAGAACAAATGTTCTCTGAGTAACTTTGGAAAGAAAACAAAAAGTTCTGTACCCTCCAGGAGCTGACTCACTTCGGGCGCTGTCTTCTGACTGTAGAGAGATGCACCAGTATGATTTTAAATAGCCTTTTCTATATGCTCCAAGAATTCTGGTCTCATAGTCCTTCTCTGACTTCTGGTTGAGATGAGGAATGAATATTATATGTGTTGTCAGTGTCCAGTGACATCATGAGAACAGTGTACACTTGGATGCTTTCCTTCAGATCAATAGAGCCTCATCCTGTCTTCCTCTTCCATGTCACTCACATTTCTACTTGGCTACGAGTTATTCTAGTATTTTCTTAAAATATTTCCAGTCTGTTAACTTTCTTGCCTCCCTCCAAGAATTTGGAATGATAACTAGTTGATTAAGCAGCAGAGTGAAAACCCTACCAGTATTGTGATGAGGATGAGGATGATAAAACTTCTAAAAACAATTGGTTCTTTTCAGCTCCTTTACTTCCTTAATTCCCTGACTTCAAGTTTCTATTGCACCATTTCAACTGCTCTTTCACTTCCTCTGCATTAGCTGCTGGTGTAGGAGATCTTCAGTACAGCTAACTCCTCAGAGAAGGGCTCAATCCCTAACCTTGCGATTTATGATCTTTAAAGTCTGCCTTCTACTTAATGTCAAGGTACGCTGCACACATACCTATTAAAAGCCAGATTCATTCTTCTGTGACTTTAATAAAATTTGAACCTTTAAGATTTATACTTGGTATTTTAGTAATTCTTTGAGGAATCTTTAAGTCTATTGGATATTCAGAGTAGAAAGGGTGGCCAGTTTGGCTTATTGTGAAATGTATGGTTTGATTTCTTAACTGAGTTTCAAATTTTTGATCTCTAATATCTTAATGAGTTTTGAAAGCAATCTAGTCACATCAACAAGTAGAGTAGATCTGGTTGAGAAGTTGAGGGCATTCCTATTCTTGGTGGTGGAATATGGGATGCTGTGTTAGCATAGCAAATGTACTATCTGTTTACTCCAGAAGGAAGTGCCCAGCAGGGTATCCTTGTCATGTTCACAGAAGGCAATAGCAATGCAGCTCAATTGGGCAGTTGTCAAACTCCAAACTATGATTATGTTTATAAATACACAATTCAAGTGTAGAGATGCCTGGAATGAAATACAATGTTCTAACTGTGTATAGGACGGAATATTAACTTTTGAATGGAACATGAAATGAGCTGCTGTCTGGTATGTTTGTTTACTTACAGAAACTCACATAGGACATGAACATGAGTTTTTCATTGGTTTATTCAGTACAGCATGCAGGACAGTAAGATAGCAAATGCTTTTATATAGATTGTTGTTGCTGAAGGAAAACTTGACACCATGGTGGCATGATGCATAGACTGATAAAACCAAGTGCAGAACAGTTTCCTTGATTTTAGGACCTAGTAGGTATTGACTTAAGCATTTCTGAACTTCTAAGAAACGAAAACATTTTAAATGAGTAGGCCAAATGTATATATGCTTCTTTCATGAAGCTTGTGGCTATAATGCCTCTTTCAGGATATTCGTCTTCTGGTGACACATTTTAAAAAAAATTAATTAACTAATGTATTTTCCCTGGGTCTAGTGGTAACAGTTTGCTCTGTTCCTAAAAGAGTAGAAGGAAGCGTCTGAAGAAGAGCTTCCGTTTCACAATATTCCTTTCATTAGCATTAGTCCCTTTTTCTGTTTCTTTGCTTCTTCTTTTTGTTTTTTTCCCTTTTGTTATGTCTGGGTCTAGAGCTGTATGTAGTTTATGCTCTTTTACTTTTCCTTAGTTATGAATAGTAAAGATATATAAAAAGCTTTAGATTCTTGACGCCACCTGTGTGTATAACTAGGATTAGATGATGACACAGGACACATTGATCTAAGTTTTTTCTTGGAAATTGCTTTTTAAAGGTTAGACTTTTTTGTAATCAATATTATTATAAAACATTTGAGTACTTTGTGAATTTGAACGAATATTGAGGCTTTATTGTTAAATAAAACTTTTGCTATATATTTGCTAAAATCATTTATACTTACATACAAATTTTCCCTTTTAAAAACCTTATTTCTGCAGTGGTCAACAAAGTTTATTAAGTGTAGTTATATTTATTAATTATATTTGTAAATACAATTTATAATGTAGTTCTAAAAATTGTGTATATGTGTATTTACTTGTAGGTAAACACATAACAAATATAATTCTATAGACTTTTTATTAATTCCTGTTTTATCTTTCTGGATTTTGTTTGCACAATAGAATTTTTAAATTATTTTTGTGATGGAAATTTTTCATCAGAGAAGCAAGCAATTAGGGAGAAAAATATTGGTTCTTAAGTATTATGGATATTCTTGAAAATATCAAATGGAATTTTCATTTAAGCAAATGCTGTAGCATAGGTAAGTGGAGTGGGTGAGTCGGTAGGAGGAAGTAGGACACTTTTCCAGCCAGGCCTCAGCAAATCATTTGCTGAGACAGTGCCCTAGTTGCATAGGTAGACACAAATTTTATCTTAGGTTTTAACAGTCGCATCATTAGGAACTTTCTTCAGCACACCTAGGGGAAACTGAGTCACGGTGAGACTGATTTTGGTCTTTTGCTTCAGTGCCCTTCTCAGAGTTTGTTGGTTTTAACATCTCCATTCTGCCCTGCTTTTTGGCATTAGTGGAGACTTTCGGATGTGGGCCCCTGGGAGTTGTTGAGTTCCGTGGTAGGCCACTGCCTGTCAAAGGCAAGCCTGCAGGAAATCCAAACATCTATCTCTGACCCAGGATCTACTTACTGCCTTCCTCACAGCAGGGCTGTGTGGCTTAGTTAATTAATGTTTGTCAGCTCATTCGAGGTCCTCAGATTCAGAGTGGCTGATAAGTGAAAGTAGTCTGATTATTTGTTCGTCCTGTGAATGTGATACCACGGCAGCACAAAGCAAACCTTATTTCTTGCCTTCTGTAGTAGTGTTAAATTTATCGTCTAAAGGCTGCTGATACAGGGCAGTCCTTTCAGATGCAAAGAATGTTCTTTTGGGGACAGTCTACCGGCAGCCATGCAAACAAGCCCCTGAGATGAATACCTTTACAGCTGACACAAGACCTCAGCCACCTTTTTAGAGATAATCTCAAGAGAAAAGAGATTTTTATTGCTTTGCTTCATATTTAATGAAAACAAAGTCAGAATCTGTCATCGTACAGAGAACATTGGCTTAATCTCTATGTAAATAACCATTTTCCTGATCACCTCTGAGCTTTTTACATGTGTACAATCCAACACAAATGGGATGAAACTCCATTGATATACTATTTGCCTAAAGGAAAAAGAAAACACAGTAAACATTATTTGTTCTATCCTGATAGTGTATACTTCCTGTACAGTTCTTTCTGTCTGTCCCTTGTGTTGTGATTTTGTTGTTGTTGTTGGCATCGGTTAGGAAAATTTATGCTCTAAATGCAAATATATTTTGGTATTTTCAAAAATAAAACCTGCAAATTAAATTTAGTATTAATAGAAATGACCATGCCATTTTAAATGTTTTTGCTAAGTAAAATTTAGGTAGCTTTTCCC